GTCGGTGCGTTGGTGGTTCTTTGTGTCTGGGGGTGGGCGTCCGGGTACACACCGGCTCACACGATTGGTGCTCTGTGAACGTTTTCCCTTGAGTCTATCCCCTATGTACACATCCTCTGATGCCCCGAGCCAGCTAAAGAAGAGAATATTTGCTACAAGCCACCCAAAATCTGAAGTGGTGACTTTTAGGTGTCTTCAACATGACAAGATGTCCATGTTGAAAATGCTCAATGTCTTGGTTGTTGCAAAACAATCATTGCTGCCCACTGGCTAGTTTTCCTTTTCAAGTTTTTCATTTTGAGAAGTCTTTTCTGGAAACATTCATGATGATGCACTGCGTTAGGCAAAAAGCCCCCTAAATTCATATAAAGGCTGAAACAGGGGCTTTAGAAAGTTTACACTCTGCCAACTTTCTCACCTTCATACAGCTGGCCGTGTATGCGACGGCCATGAATGTTGCAACATAAGTTTCAGAGATTGTACTCTCCCATCCAATTTTGTCTTTGGAAATATGTGGCAGTAGAGACTGTTTGAACACCTATGAAGTATTTCTGATGGAGTATACTGGCTCTCTAAGCAATCAGTGCTCTGCTCTTTCATTTGCTGGATGCCTGGTACCACACCGCTCACCTGAAAGCCATGCACTCACTTGCTTCTACTGCTGTTTTCATTTCATTTCATAGCCTAGAATGCACATGGAGTGTCTGAGTCTGCCTTTCCCATTGAGGAAAATGACTATTGTCACCTCCCCACTCTCAGCCTTGCTGAGCCTGATGTTGTAAAAAGAGAAAATGGATTGTTCTGTAAAAGCCAAACACAAACATTATACATAAATACATTTGCAAATGATCCATCCCATGTTAGATACTCAGTGTGTACTGCACTTAGAATGAGAACAGCACAACAAAACTATTAAATTTTAATGAAATGTCCCTTAAACAAAGCCTGATGACAGCTTAAAATTCCTTTTATATTAAACAAAGTCTCTGGATTGTTGGCTCTGGATATTTGTTGCAGCAAGCTGAATGCAAAATTTATGCCTCGGAGTATTTCTCAGACAGGCAGCCTGATGAGGCTCGGTTGTTAGGTTTTAGTTATCTTTTAGAATCTCGTTTTCTTCCAGTTATATTTATTGCTGTTACTTATACACCAAAACAGAATGCACTATATATTACCACGTGTTGCTTTACCCCCTCACCCACACAGACACGCATGTTAGAGTGATATTTGTAATGTTTTACATTGCTGCAATTTAATCTATCTTAGCCTGAGGGGTCAATAGACAAACGCTGCTAATTTCAGACCCACATTTCAGTGTTCAGTCATATGGAGTGATTATTGTCTTCAGACTAGCAGAGGGTCTTTCACACATGGCAGTAACTCCCATCCTCTTGTCTCTTCTGTGGATTCTAGTATTCGCATGTGATACTTTAATCCACTGTTCTACTAAGTCATGTATGACACTGTGCAGTAACACTGTGGGATTTAATGGAAATAATCCAGTCTCTCTCTCTCTCCTCTTTTTCCATTCAGTTTAGCAGAAGAGTTGTATCAGAAAGTCCAAAGACTCTTTGGTAAACCGCATCAGGCCACTGAAGACCTCAAGGCAGAGGTGACAATTAATTTTACTTATTTGTCTTCAGTTTGACTAAATGAATGGCTTAACACCTCCTTATCTTCTTTCTAAGATAAAAGAGAAGCTTTCGGACCATGAGGAGAAGCTCAGGGATGCCCATGGTCTGCTCATCTTTGCCCAGGGACAGACAAGTCTGGCTGGCTCACTGGCTTACCAAAACCAAGCTAACCTCACAGCCCTGGAGGTACAAGCACGAGTTTACATTGTGACCTCGTGTCCAAACTGTGTGTTTTGTGTATAACTGATATTTTGAGATGTCAGATAGTTAAATGTTGTCATAATGTGGTAAGCAAAGCCTCTATGCCTCTTTAACTATCACACAATGGGGCAATCGTGGCTCAAGAGTTGGGCATTCGTCTTGTAATCGGAAGGTTGCCGGTTCGAGCCCCGGCTCCGACAATCTCGGTCATTGTATCCTTGGGCAAGACACTTCACCCATTGCCTACTGGTGGTGGCCGGTGGCGCCAGTGTCCGGCAGCCTCGCCTCTGTCAGTGCGCCCCAGGGCAGCTGTGGCTACACTGTAGCTTGCCATCACCAGTGTGTGAATGGGTGGATGATTGTGTATAGTTAAAGCGCTTTGGGGTCCTTAGGACCAAGTAAAGCGCTATACAAATTTAGACCATTGACAGTAGATTCTGTAAAAACACCCTTCTGTTGGCATTACAATTACTTGTCAATGTATTTGCCATATACTCTAAAGTGCTGAAGCGAGCAGTATTTCATAAAAACCGACTCTGAACCTGAAGCATCTACATGAACACTGCTGTGTGATGTCTTTGTTACTCCCCATTTGCTCTGTACTTTCTACTGTGGCCTGGATAGCTACAGAAAAGAGCACCAAAATGACTGTTTGCACATTTTTGGACCCTTCCATGCACTTGAGAGAGACCAGTGCACAAATTTATGCTCATACCAATAAGCATGTTCCAGTCTTTAAGAAGTTGGGTCACAAAGTTAAAGGCACAAGGCCACACGTTACCCAACGTCTGATAGTAACGATAACGTTTTAAGTGTATTTTATTTCTGACTTTAGACATAAGACAATTAAATCTTTTAGTTTCTGTCTCCTAAACTGAAAAAACAATAAAAATGCTTAATAATCCCAAAGACTGAAATTCACCATCTATAAATCATTGATGCCACTTAATCTTATTTTGTTGAGAAGCCCTTTGCATGTGATTAATCATCAAGAAGGGCTTAGATGCAGCATACCTCTAACAGAAGAAAATAGCAAACATTTATTGAATAGATTATCCTACATATCCTACAGGAAAGATTATACAGTCTTCTATCTCTGACACACTCAATCAATATAGTCTCACAGCAATTTCATTAAATGCACCTTGCTAGTTACGGCTCACTACCCCTTTTGCCCTCAGAACTGTCTTAATTCTTTGTGGCACAGATTCGACCCAGAAACACTGCTTAGAGATTTTGGTCCATATCAACCCGATGGCATCACACAGCTACTGCAGACTTGCCAGCTGCACATCCATGATATAAATCTCCTAGTCCACCACATCGCAGAGGTTCTCTGTTGGATTGAGATCTGCTGACTGTGGAGGTCATTAAGCTCATTGTGATGAAACCAGTCTGAGATGATTTGGGTTTTGCGACATAGCACATTATCCAACTGGAAGCAGCCATCAGAATGTGGCTACACTGGGGTAAAGAGATGGACTTGACCTGCAACAATATTTGGGGAGGCTGTACTGTTTGAATGATGCTCGGTTGGTACTAAGAGGCTCAAAGTGTGCCTACAACATACCCCCCCACACATTACACCACCACCACCAGCCTCAACCAGTGGTGTAAGGCCAGATGGATCCATGCTTTCATGTTTTTACCACCAACTCCTGACCCCACCATCTGAATCTGGTCCTGTTTTCTTTTAATGCAGAGGAAGCGATCTGCAGTCAGCGGAGTGAAACAGGAAGCACAGAAGGTTCTTAGAGAAGGAGAACGTCTACTGGGTGAAGCGAACCAGCTTTCTGACAACGTCAACAAAGAGATCGAGGTACGGAAATAAACCTTTCGTGCTCTGTAACACTTTAAACCTCTGTCCACTCTAGAATATTCTGCCTCAGGTTAGTTGTATTGCTTTTGTCTTCAAGAAAGACAAATTTCAGTTCGGCACATATAATGTTATTGTTATGTTTTATTAGCATTAAAAGTCACTTTTATGTAGATCTGAGTCTCTGTTCTCTGTTCACAGGACTTGGAGGAAATGGCGAGTGAGCTCAGGGCTCTTCATGGCCGGCTGGATGACAGAGTCAGTCACCTCACTTATGGTTTGAGCGATGGTCGCCTGGCTTATCGCGTGCAGGATGCAGAGGAACATGCCAAGCAACTTAACAACTCTGCAGCCATTTTAGATGGGTAAAGGGAGTATATTTTTACAGTACAGAAAAGCACACACGTAGGCTCAGGTAGTATTTACTTGAGGCCCAGTGTGATTTTAAAACGGGTTCATGTTGCTTTCTTTCATGTTGTTGTCTTTTTTAATAACATTTGCTGGTTACAGCTTTTTATTCAGTTTCATGTAACTGTAAGTTAAATATCCAAATCAACTCTTAAGCGCTAAAAGCATACCATCATCAACTGCACGCTCAGCTTCACAGTTCAGTTAAGCTGGAATATATTATGCTCAAGTCCACCCAAAATCCAACTAATGGCAGTAAATGTTGAAACATGAAAAGTTCTGGAAATCCTCATTATAACTTCCAGTTTAATTTAACTGCTTACCAAAGTGTGTACAACAAATAGAATAGGAAATCAATGTCCATTTCTTCCTCTCCCCCCCCTCTTCACAGTATTTTGGCTGAAGCTAAAAACCTTTCCTTCAATGCGACAGCCGCCTTCAATGCCTACAGTAACATTAAAGCGAATGTTGATGCAGCAGAGAAGGAAGCAAAGGCAGCCAAACAGAGGGCGAGCGAGGCGCTGGCACTGGTAAGAGGACGTGCACTGTCACGTATGGAAACACATGCTGTATGTAACTCGCCCTGTATTCAGCAACTGTAGATACCAAGCACAAGCAGTTTAGCAATCCGGACCATGAAAGTGTTCTCTCAGCACAAAAGATAGTGTGTGTGTGTTTGTGTGTGTGTCGCATGCAGTGACAGTAATGTAAGCTTGTGCTCTCCATTAGTCATGGCTGAGGGATCAAAGCACAGCTCTGTCCCTCTTCTTCCTTCCCTCTCTTTCTCATTATCATGACTCACACCTGAATTCTTCCTTTTTCCTTCTTTTATTTTTTAATTTGTCCCGTTTCCTATTCCCTTTCTTTTTTTCCTTCCTTGCACGTTTAACTTTTTTTTTTAAACAGTCACCTTCATCTTTGATTTTTTTTTCTCCATGTATTTCCTCTTCTCTCCTTTTTCACTTTAATTTCCTCTGAGCCAGTTCATTCGTCTGACCGTCATTCTGCTGATACTTTACCCTTCTCTTGTTGACTCATGCAGCTCGTTTGCTTTTTTCGCCGCCTTAATTATTTCTTTTCCTTTGGCAAGTAATATGTAAAGGGCTAAAAGTGAAAAGCAAAGGGATGAAAAAATGATTCAAAGGGTTGAACACGGAGAAACAAAGTGATGAATAGTTAAGTAATTTGAATCCCTTTCTTAGAGGATCATTTAGCAATGCGAAGTAGTTATGCTTTGATCTTACAGTCGGTACCTCTGTATGCAGATTACTGCACCTCTACATTTTTTTTTAAAAATTTGTGTGTGAACCCAAAAATACTTTATTCTGAGAGCATTTTAAGTCACATAATTTGCACTGTTGCTCCTTGTATGCAGGCTTTAGGTCCAGAGATCCCAGTAAAGGAAGCAGCTCGAGATGCCCTGCAGAAGAGTCATGTACTGTTGGATCAAGCTAAACAACTTCAAAATGAGGTCCAAGGTACTGTCGGTGTATGTGTATCCAGAATGTATATTGTATATAATGCAAGAAATAGGTTCCTTATACAATATAAACAAGCCTTCCAATTTTAGAGCAGTGTATCTGATATCACTGTCGTCCTACATTTGCCTCTCTATGCCTTTTTCTCAGTCACTCTTTCCCATTAGGGAGGTGAGGGAAGTGATTTCATTAGCAGGCGGCCTTGGCTTCAAATCAAACCACCATCATCATTTACTTTGTGTGTGTTGTGTGTGTGTGTGTAGAGAATGCAGCTGGTGTGGCCGGGCTGAAGGGCAGAGTTAAAGCAGCGAAAGACAAAACCAAAGACCTGCTGAAAGCTGTCAATGGAACCATGGCAACGCTCAACGCCATCCCCAACGGTATGATTGCATCATTGTGTGTGTGTGTGTGTGTGTGTGTGGGGCTGTGCATGCACACAATTGTGGGCGAAAGATAAAGACAGAGTGGATCAATATCAGTGTGTGGATAGAGGTCAGTTGCTCGGGTAAACTCAACTTGACACATGTCAGTACTCACAGATACGCACTCGGAAATGCACTGCGGCGATAGCAAAGTTACTGAACTGAAGTGTTACACGTGTTTGTGTTTGGATCGACACAAAGACAGCTCTCAAATGTAGCAATAGTAACAGTTCAACATGGAAACATTTGCCTTGAAAATAAATGAATATGAATAATAAAGAGATTTTTACAGGATTTCCCTAGTGTGATGTCACCGTCTGCTTAGAGCAAATATTTAGCGTGATACTTTTATAGTTTCAGTCTCAAACAATAAAATCTGTTAATAGACTGACCCTATGCAAGTGTTGTATCAAAACAAGCTGTGTTTTTATTCTGGAGACTTCTCACGTCCAGGATGATCAGAGCAGGGATTCACATTTAATCATCCAAGTTTCACTTTCTTTTACCATGATGTCTAAGAACTATAATCCTTGATACTAAGTGATGAATTTAAAATTATTGTGCAGCGTGAACTGAGAGAGCATATATCTGTGTGCGCGCATGTGTATGTATGTAATGTGATGCCATAATCAAACCAAATTAATGCCATTAATTGCTTTGTGGAACTTACAGAGTCCAGATCTGACCTAAGAGCTATCTTGTTATTTCTTTAATAACACATAAAAATGATAGTAAATAAACTGAACAGTAAAGTATATATTTGTTTAAAAATTTGGGTTTGCACAACATCAATGTAAATTATGGCAGTTACAGTACACATCTTTTATGTTTCATCCTTTGACAGACACAGCAGCTAGGCTAGCAGCCACAAAGGCTGTAGCAGCGGATGCTAACGCCACAGCCATCGACGTCCTGGAGCGTCTTGGAGATTTGAACCTGCGACTTGGTGGACTAGAGCGCAACTACACTGATCTGAAGGAGACTGTCAGCGAAGCCAATCAGATGATCCAGGACCCTGAGAAAAACAGTAAAGTGCTTTTCTTTTGGTAGTTAGTATGCATAGTCTAATATTAGTAGGCAGGTAGTAACTAATTACTCTTTCTTTACTCTGAAAAGAGTGAGCTTTTGAACATTTTTGCAACTCTTACATCCTAATTTGATAAATTAATAACAAAATGTTGAAAATGATCAACTGGAACATTTCCAAACGTTTATCTTGTTGTTGTCTCAGATCTACGTAAATTCAAAATTGAAATTTGATATATTTCTCTCTGTTTCTCTTTTTTTCAATCCCCACAGCAATCAGTATGTATATTTCACTTACTTTAATTTGAGCACGTATTATACGTGGTGCACCAATACCATATTTTAATTGCAATATCTGACATATTTGTTTTGCTTAAATATAATAAATCACAGAGTTCACACTGTATTGAGTCAGCGCGCTCTTCAGTCAGTATCGCCTATGGCGGCATAGGCTGATTTCGACAGCAGTATTGGAGCACCACCCATTAATATTGTGATTATCTTTAATAGCTACACGGTAAACAATAGTTGCTTCTAATAAAGCCTCCATTCGGCATGAGCATGAGAGCTCTGCACACTGCAAAGCATAGCACTTCTTTTTTTTTTTTAATGTCTTCTCTTTATTTTTATCTTTCCTGGATCTTAAGCTGATACAATTTCTCCAAGTAAATAAATTAGAAGCAGTTCTCTTTGAATGCTGAGTTACACTAATTGTTTGGCTCTTACTGGCTTTGCCATCTTTCTGTCTCTTCCTCCACATTTCTCCTCCTCCAGTGATTTCCTCATCTACCATTATTTCGCTTCGTCTTCTGCAAGCTTTCTCTTTCTCTCAGCTGCAGTACTGTACCGAATAGTATCATGATAACAACTATGGTAGTGTTCTGTATCGTTGTATTTGATCTCTCTCTACCTTCAGTTCATGCTGCAGGAGCAAAAGTGAAGGATTTGGAGGACGAAGCTGACAGGCTGTTGGAGAAGCTGCAGCCAATCAAAAAGCTACAGGACAATTTGAGGCGCAACATCTCCCAAATAAAGGAACTGATTAACCAGGCCAGGAAACAAGCTAATTCAGTAAGTTGTTGACACACTGCCATGTACAACTCCTACTCATAGTTGTAGGAGATCACATGTTTTATAGTAGTTTAATGTTCTTGTGCAAGATTTATTATGATTTATTTGAACTTCCAGAAGCATTTGTGGCTGGCTAACATTTCAACAGATTGACCAGGAGAGAGTTGGACTGAATGTGTTTACATGTACGAGGCCCAGCCATGGGTCTAGTAGGCTTGGTTTCTTTTGATGACTTTCTTCCACCTCACCCCTGGGAGCTATTTAGAAACATGTCGGTGCCCAGCGGTTGGTTAAAACTCTGTTGCAGGACTATATATGGCATAATAATTCAGGCATAATCTGCCTGCATTTATAAATTAGATATCAGTCTATCTGAGACTGATTGCTCTCAGTCCAAGCTGGACTTGGAGGCAAATACCAGATGTTTTTTTTTTAAATACTTGTGTGTTATTATACAATATATAGGATAAATTCAAACTAAAATCGAAGATTCCTTTTTGTGGAAACATTCTTAATTCCTTCACTCTTTCTTCCTGTTTACAGATCAAAGTATCAGTGTCTTCAGGAGGTGACTGCCTCCGTAGTTACCGCCCTGACATCCGAAAGGGGAGGTATAATACCATCATTCTTCATGTCAAAACCACCACACCTGACAACCTGCTACTCTACCTGGGATCAGCCAAATATGTAAGCACGTCTCAGAAAAACACAGGAGCATAAAATCAAAAGTAGTTTGAACTTGTACAGGTTGTTCATTTCTAAACAAAAACCAAATCTATTGCCTTAAAAATGTGTCTTTATGTCACAATTTAAATATGAAAATGTTCATTTTTTTAAAAAATGTTTCATATCGATGCATTGTTCTCATTTAATTTAACACTCAGGTGCTATGTAGAGCACCATAACATTTTTTTTTTCTCTTGAAGCGTTCTCGTGTACCATTAGTCTTGCATTAAAAAGCACACACACTTGTCTCTTTTCCATAAACCGGCCCTCTCACACACCTTACAGGTATTCCCAAAGTGGCTTGTCTAATATGTGAATAACTAATACACATTGACACATACTTGCAGGCACCCTATAAACATAGCACTAATTTAAGTCACCATGCTACTCCCAAGGTGTGCATACGTGTGGGTTTGGTTGTAAACACACGTGTGTATCTTGATGAGCAGCACCAATTAACAACAAGTTTATGTTGCCATGTACTTTAGCCTGATTTCCCCTGAGAAATCTTCACTGCATCTGACTGGAAAGTGTGGAACATTCATATGTGTGTGTTTGTGTGTCTCTACTATTTTCTGATGGTGAATAATTCAGTTTGTATAGTAATTTTGTGTGTGTGCATGCACGCCTCTTACATTTTTCTAATAGCGTGTAATACTAGTTGAATAGTAACGATGCTGCCCTGTGATCTCTACTAATGAATAATCGGCATTACCCTGGGGAGACCAGAAAGATTAGTGCATGCACTTTTGTGTCTGTGTATGCGTGTCATTTGTGTCTTCAAATGTGACCCCCTGATAATCTCTAATTGCGCATAATAATATATGAATTATAATTCTTGGTATGCACTTCAGCTGCATCATGAAGATGAGAGCATATGCTGAAAGTTCACTTTTTTTTTTTCATACTCATACATATGTAATAAGAGCATTAATCAAAATACAGCAAGATCCAGTAAAAATCCACTTACAAGGACAGATGGAGAAAAGGAAAGCTTTTGTAGCCCCGGAATAGATAAGAACTGGGTATAAAAGTGCTTCACTGTTCAATCATTCACATTTTAGTACATAAAACCGCTGTATAACTCCTACATTGTGTCATCTTAAAAGCATAGACTGTGTTTAAAAGACACCTGTATGGAGGGAAAAGTAAAGCCACTGCCCATCACTTTTTACCTTACAGTTTGCCACTAATGGACATTATAGGCTCTGGTTTCATAGGTCACTCTATGCTAGGACATTTCCAACAACATTATGTAGGTAGTTGCTTCAGTTGCTCATAGTTTAACTCTGTAGCTGATTGCTCCACATGCAGCTATTTTGTGGTCGAAACAAGTTGCTCAATTTCACCGGCATACTGTGGTCTTACCATGCATAACTTCAAGCCTGTATATAGTTTACATGTTATTTCTCTTGTAAATCATTTTTACAGGGGTACCTTTATTGGCTTCACCACAGATCCCAGCTTGCTAAGGAGCTAAAGCATGATTGTTGGTTGTCCATTTCTAAACAAAAACCAGTATAAATATTACCACTGCACATTACGTTGTTATTTGCAGAATTCTAGTAGATAAATGATTCCACATTCACAAAGGTGAGAGGTGTACCGCATAACCTCTGAGATTTGTGTGGTCTGATAATCACTTTGAATATATTGTTTGAATTAAAGCCTAAATCTGAGAACAATGCAGATTTTTATAAAGCATGCAAAACTATAGAGAATCTGATTACATTGGCAGCATCTGGAAAAGGTTTTGGATAAATTGGAAGAATGCCTAAGATTTATTATCAAATTTCAAAAAATATATATTCTTGCAATAAAATTACAACCTTTAAACTACCTTTACTGTCCTCCAAACCCTTTTGTTTAAAAAAAACAAAGTGGTTAGCAGTGTCACCTCAAAGCAGGAGGGTCGTGGGTTTGAATCCACCAATTTGCCGGGGCCTTCCTGTGTGAGGTTTGCATATTCTCCCTGTCACTGTCAGGGTTCCTTCTGGGTATTCTGACTTCCTATTACCATGTTAGAACAATTGGAGAATAGGTGAAAACTGGCCATAGGTATGAATATGAGCATAAATGGTTTTCCCTACCTCTCCCCCTATGACACCTGGAGTATGCTTCAGAATCACCGTGACCCTAAACACTGTATATCTCGAGTGTTCTCCAAGTATTTTTGAATGTTTCATAAACTGTCAACTTATTCATGTGCATTACCCACAATTACATAAAATCAGTATCTGTATTCATCTTGTTAAGCGGATAAATCAGCACTAAGCACAGTAACCTTAACCTAAAATAAATCACAACAATGCAGTTTATTCAGCATGTGTCTACTTTGTCTCAGGTTGATTTCTTGGCATTGGAGATGCGCAAGGGGAAGGTGAATTTCCTTTGGGATGTGGGTTCAGGTGTGGGGAGGGTCGAATATCCCCATCACACCATCCATGATGGAAACTGGCACAGGATCGAGGCGTCTCGGTAAGAAGAGCGCACTCATTCATGTGTATGGAAATGTGCTGTACCTTTGACACGTATGGTTTAAAAACTGATGTTACATCTTACATTTCAGGAGTTTTGAGAAGACAATAATAAGAAAACATGCGTACACCCACACACAATCACAAGAAAGGGGTATAACAAAAGAAAGTTACTGTACTTATCTATACATGTCTGTATAGATGTATATAGCTAATTAGTTTTCTACATTTCTTTATATATTTTTTTGTCTGTGATCCCGTCTAACCACAAGCAACAGTTGTAACCGACAGTTGTTGCAGAAATAAACCAACAGTTGCCTAAGGACATCTTCTCATTCATGCTACTGTGGAAAACGCACTGTTTCACTTGGGAAATCAAGAGATTGCAGGATGTCAGCCTGTGGCACATCATTGCATAGATACAGTGTAATCTAACAAACTAGTTTTCTCTGTGAAAGCTGCAGCGATGTTTTATGCAAGACCATCTAACATCAGGCCAATTCACACAAAGGAGATGGCCCATTTGCACCATGTATTTCCATCTGAGAAATTTCCCAAAGGTGTCTTCCAGTGGAATCACGCAGACTATCGGTCTTAAGTGTTCCCCTACACAATGTAAAAATCTTGACTTTAAACTCCAAGGTGGCCAGCTGATTTTGCCATACATCTCAGAGTTTTCACTGCAACAAAACTGGCTCCACACTCTGTTTCTATCATTCTTCTTTAGCACCAAGAGTTTATAAAAACTGATTCCAAATGGCTTCAGTCATAACAAATCTCTTCCAGGCAGTACAGAATGCCAAGCAAAAAGACAACAAACCCTCTTCTCATTCTCTCAATACAGCAATGGGTTGAATGGTACCATATCAGTATATCCTCTGGAAGGCTCTATGGCTGGTATGATGCCGACCCCGGCCAGTGCCAACTCGCCCACGGCCTTCACCATCTTGGATGTAGACCAGAACGCCTACCTGTTTGTGGGAGGGATATTCGGCTCTGTCAAGGTGCCTGTCTGTCTGTCTCAAAACATGAAGAACCTGTCTTCCTGCTGTGTTTTCTCATGATTATCTTTTTTCTGTTTGTCTTTTAGAAAGCAGAGACAGTAAGAACAAATACTTTCACAGGCTGCATGGGGGAAACCTACCTGGATGGTAAACCTATTGGACTGTGGAACTACAGAGAGAGAGAGGGAGACTGTAAGGGATGTGTCGTCAGGTATACAGTCACAATTTAATTAGAAGTTAATTATTTTATTCTTCCTTACTGATATTGATAGTGTAGTCTTTTTATTACTCCCAGTTGTATTCCTAATCGTAGATATGTAAAGAACATTTTATACAGGAACTAGGATTTATTTATAAAAACAGCTGTCTTTTGCAGATATTCTGGTTGGTCTAATATTCAAGTGAGCGTTTCATTGTCTCGCCTACTTTGCATTTAATTATTTGTGACCTTTCAAACTCAGGCAGTTGGACAGGAAACAAAGCAGTTGTAAATTGGTCCTTTTTTTGTAGCCCCCAGCGCTCCCACGGTGAAGGGACCGTTCAACTGGATGGAGAAGGCTACGCTGCAGTGGGACGACCCACCAGGTGGAACCCAAATGTCTCCACCATCACTTTCAAGTTCCGCACGTTCTCCTCTGATGCTCTGCTCATGTATATGGCAGCTGAAGACATGGTATGTGTTTAATATGGTATTAATACCATGATGGAGACAGATATTTTGTTTATTGTGTAAGTTGTGAGGCTTTTTAAAATTTATTTAGACAGTAAAAATACTGTAAAAAGTACATCAAACAATCAAACAGGTGTCATGCTCTTACTGCTTGTGTCTTATGAAAATTAAAAAGAAAACATTACAGTTCTCTTTATGTGACATTAAGAATAGTGTCCAAATCTGCTGTTTTATTGAGCAGTCAAGATTTGATTAATTGATAAAATAATTTTAACCATTTTCTTCAGTCTAGTCCATATTGGGACCCTTTGCAGTATATTTTACACAGTGTTGTTAAATCCTATCTTTTCAGACTCGTGCTGTTATTGATTTGTACTGAATTTGAAACGCCAGAGTGTCACAGCAGTCTCTCCCTGTTTGATGCTCTCTGCAGAAGGACTTCATGTCTCTGGAGCTGTCAGAGGGTAAAGTGAAGGTTAACTTTGACCTTGGATCTGGAGTTGGAAGTGCCAACTCATCTAAGCGCCATAATGATGGCCACTGGAAATCCCTCACCATGTCGAGGAACAAGAAACTATGTAAGCCTTCTAATATAACCTGAGCTGTGAATCAATGGAACAGATAAATTAGAGGGCATACATATACAATCTCTCCGTGTTCTGTTGCTGATAATGTATCTTCAACTCTTAACAAAGCCACGGTGTCCATAGTAGACGTCGACAGCAGTGACGAGGAAAAGATTGTGGCCACATCTCTGGGGTCAGCTACTGGTCTGAACCTTAAGGAGCACCAGAAAATCTATTTTGGGGGTCTGCCAACGATTGGAAATTACAGGTACGCATAAAGTGCTGTAATTTACGTTGGTTCAGTTTATAAAAGCTTACATGATGTTCTGTGTGAGAGCTGCATATTGTTTTGCATTTGATTTACAGAAATGCTCTTTAATATTTTTGAATGTTTCATTTGCGTTAATTCATATAGTTTCCTCATGGGAAAGTTATTTTGACACTTTGAGGCAGTTAAAGTAGTAAGAGACCAAACCTCCGCTCCAACATATCCATTATGTGGGATAATGCTTGCTGCTAAGCACAAATACATTTTTATCCTATTTCTAAGCCCCATTCCAGAAATAGGATAACAATTAGGTCAGTGAAGACTCTGAGTTTGTTAACCCTGAGATGAGAGAAACGCCATATGTTCTGATCTGAGAGTTAACTTCAACTTTGAGCCTGTAACCGGGGTAACCTACTCACTGGCAGGATTTCTTCAACTTAGTTTAGCTCCTCCCCTCCTCCTGCACCTGAATCAGCTGTCTGACACCGGCTATCAAACCTCATAGCAGAGTGAATTAAATGGCATAAACATTAAAAACAACTTGACCAGTTCAATGATCAAAGTAAAGATGGCAAGTTGAATTGAAGGTTTAGTTTAAGAATGTTAACATGTTTACCATATGGTTGTGTGTTTGCTAATGCTTGAATGTCATGTTCCTTCTTAACAGCATCGCAGCCAGGTAAATGAATGAATGAATAAATAAATAAATACATTTTATAATCAAGCACAATAAAAAAAATCAACTGTATTCACTATTGAGCTGTGCATGAGGCTGACCTGCTGATAATGCTGTACAGCCCACACTGAATGTACGTTTGTTTGTTGGCTGGACTCTCAGAAATCACTTTTTCTATCCTTTGTTAATCTGAATTTGACGTTTGTTCAACAACATTTTGGTGGAATAACTCATATGAATAACTCCCTTCCATATTTTATTGGCATATTCAGTAGATTTAGATGTTAATCTACTTCCTGACATTTTCGAGATTGATGGGTAACTTAAAAAAAAGTGTATTATGCTGCTAAAAGAATGTTTATTGCAGTCGTTGACGAGGGATATTTTTTAAGAACTTTCTCTTCAATAACAGATACTCATCTTGAAATGAGTAATATAGAAAAATATCCCAGTGCATTTGTATGGACAAACGACATATTCAGATTATTCTTGTTGATTTTTAGGTATCACTCTGCTTGCGAATTCACTGCTGCAGTAATTCACTTCTACAAGAGCAGACTGACCATTATTATGATTATTGAATACTCCAAAGTAAAACTGTCTTACACTTCATATAGGTCAGAGGTCATTCTGAAGAGGTATGCGGGCTGTCTTCGGGACATTGAAATCTCCAGAACGCCATATAACCTTCTGAGCAGCTCAGATTATACTGGTGTGACTAAAGGATGTAATGTAGAGGTAAGTGAGCTTTTATGAAACATCCCGTATGATTGCTGACCCTCTGGTTACAGTATTATATATTTTAGATTTGCCATATATAGAGAGAGATGTGTGAATGGGTCAGGTCGGCGAATATGTACATATAATTAACATAACATCCACTAAATGGGGAATCTGAAAAGGCATTAAAATCTGTTGATTGGATGACCTTGAAATTCTACAGCTTTTTTTTCAACAGCACATGTCACTTTCATTCTGATTTGCCTTTCACTCGGTTGCTTCTTTATGTAGGAAGATGGTTTCCGCACAAAGAATAAAATAAAAAGGCACAGACGTGTTTAATCTGCAGTACCCTTTCATATTCATGTTCCTCTCACAGACACAAACTATGCATTATGTATTAATCAGTGCATTTGTAAGAATATACACACTTCTTAAATTGCTTTTTATATTTTAATCTTTCAAGCCTATTATGCAAACACACTCATGGAGCTTTCAACAGCCATGCAAGGTTTTCACCATGACTAGTGCTATTCATTTACTTATAAAAAAAAAATGCAGCCAAAGCGTATCAAGGCCCGGAGAATGTTGAAGAAGATTGCTGAAGGTCTTTCTCTTGTTTTCTCCGTGTGGTGGTGGTAGAGAGGAGGTCAAAGGCTGGGGACCTTCGTCTTTTGGAAAAAAGCAAGTCGTTATTATGTGAATGATTTAAAATAAAGACTTAGTTTAAGCATAGTATAAAGTCAGGTTAAGGTTAGATGTAGGCAGTTAGTGGTTGTAAGAATAAAAGAAAGAAAGAAAGAAAGAAAGAAAGAAAGAAAGAAAGAAAGAAAGAAAGAAAGAAAGAAAGAAAGAAAGAAAGAGAAAGAAAGAAAAAGTCCTTATTAAAGTAATAAAACCACATGTGGGTAGTAGGTATGTTAAATAGACGGGGAGAATTTCATTTTTACAACTACCGTAACAAAAGGAAAGCTGGATGATGATGCACCAGAAAGTCTGTGTGAAACAGTGTGCCACTAAAATGTGTTGCTGTTCTTTGAAAAACCTTGACTAAAATATCAGAAAGTCATATAAATTTGATCAACTACATTCAGACTTGTGTAGTCGTTTTTACTCTTTTCTGTTTGACTTCTGCATTGTAGGCATGATGAACGGTGCTGAACTAAATAACTGATCTGTCCATTGACAAAATACATGTCAAGTGAAACTGTTTCTTCTTTGTTTGCAGAACCTGCACACAGTCAGTTTCTCTAAGCCAGGATACATGGAGCTGAGTGGTCTGTCGCTGGCCGTTGACACAGAGATCAGCCTGTCATTCAGCACTCAAGAAGACACTGGGACCATACTGCTGGCAGTAGGCGGAGGGTCACCAAACAAACAGAAGGTTATTGTTATTTTATTAGGGGTTTTTTTTTTTGGTCCATCTGTTTTACTCACTGAGTCACTCCAATACAATATACTTCTTAAATCTGAGTTGATCAAGTTCCTCATTCTGTTATAGTTGTAAGATATTTCTCATGGGTGGGGAACAGTGTAATATGGAGAGTAGCTTCATTTGAAATTAAATACTCATTCACCACTAATCACTCAAATCTTTCTCTATTGTCACCAGTTTGTGTTCAATATTTTTTCAGAAAATAGTTAAAAAATTGTTAAGTTGTTGTTAATAATTGCCATAAAATCTAATAAAACTGCAAGAATGTACAGTATAATCATTTATTTTAAATATAGTACATATATAGAATTTATGTAGTATGGAAGTGAAATACAATATAAAAATTGTTTGGTATATTGTTTCAGTCCATCTTTGTATTTGTGCTAAAGAAACATTTCAAAAACATCCATTTGACTTTAAAGGGTTAAAACAATGTTTGCTGTGTAGTGACAAAATTTACCAGTGTGTGCATGGTAACATAACAGCGTGCCTGTTGTCTAATAATATGGCTTCTATTAAAAACCTTGTAATGCAAGCTCAGTTTTTTCTGGTTAAGTTTCTTGCACATCTGCCCCTTTTATGGTACAGTTAAACTATGGAAAACAGCAAAGCCAAAACTATTGTGAGCGTTTGCATTGAAATTGTAATACAAACAGCTGCAGAGCAGCTGAGCTACAAATTGATCGCAAACTGTCTGCGTCTATAAATTTATGGCAATAATTTGCCAATCTGTGTGAGTGTTTTCAGTCTGGTCAAGGTGGACTCAAGTGACTCACTTGAGTAATCGCATTACTCAAGTGAGTAATCCAGTGTAACTGTACCATTAGGTAATGATAGCACTTTATGATAAAGCATTGTGAAGCTATTAGTAAGGTGTTAGCAAGTGCTTAATTCATCATTGATACAGCATTATTTCTCCTTAAGGCCATTTATGAATACAGATATATGATCATGATTCATGACTCAAAGCTGTGCATGGTGTAAGAGTAGCAGATAGATAAACATCTCTGTTTATAAATGACATACCAAGGCGGAGTAATATGTATGTAAACAATAAATTAAGCACTTCCCAATACCGTACTAATGCTTAATAGTGTGACATTATTAGAAAGTGCTACCAAGGCAGTATCAGAAAACGTATTGGAAGAATCTGTGCACAATAACATTGTTCTGAATATCTTTCCAATCCAGGCCCGCTCCACAAGCCTTTCAAAGTCCAAGAGGAAGAGAAGACAGTCAGGAGAGGTGGGTTCACCATGCACAGTTTGGACCCAAATGCTGTCTTGTTTGCCTAAGTGAATGGCAGTTACATAAGTGCATATTAATGAGATTTGCAGTTTTTGGCAACTGAGCTAATGGGATTGTTGTTTTCCAAAATGCACACTCTTACTTATACACACCCATAGATGTGCAAAGACTCATACACACCTTTAGTAGCTGTTGTGGATGTTCATTGTATAGTGGCGATCTTAGCTTTTAGCTGACTTTGCCAGTGCGTCCACACAGTCACACAAGCAACTTTTCTGTAAGTGAATTAAGTTTCCATGAGTGCATATTAATGAGATTTGACTCTGTTGGCAACTACACTGATTAGATTGTTTCACAGCTGAAACACCTTTTTTTCCACGTGCACACACACATGTACACACATGGCTGTCAACCCTAGCCAGTGCTAAATAATTAAATCCATTATTTTAACTCCCCTGAAAACACCATGGGCAGCATGTCATATTTGCAGCTGTGTGTGTTTGTATGTGCACATAAGGGTTTTGTGTGTCATATCAGGTGTGAGGATGGCACTCACACGCGTGCAAATTTAAATGTGTGTCGTGTTTTTGTGTGTGAGAGAGGTAGAGAGGACAGAGGGTTACCTCTAGCTTATCCATCATCACTGGTTGTTAGGCACATAAATCTATTTTTACTAACTATGCTGGCAGGCACAGCATTTGTGTGTGTGTGTGCGCCTCTGTACGTGCGTGTGTGGAGAAAGGTTAAGCGAGGTTAAAAACACCATCAACTCAACTTGGCCCTGACTAATGGCTGTTTTAGAGAGGGACACAGAGAGAAGGGGACAGGAGACAAAGGATGGAGGGATGGAGGAGAGAGATTTAGAGGTGAAAGTAAGGATAGAGAAGTAAGAACAAAGCTAAAAAGAACGGAAATGAGATGATGGGGAGGATAGTCTGCTGTGGGAGAGAACAAAAATTGAAAAAATGAAAAGAGCTGGGAGCAAAAAAATGAAAGGACGGGCACAGAGGAGAGGTAAGAAGAAAAGAGGTGGAAGAATATCTTAGATGAAAAACAGTAGATTGTTTTTAAGCTGGCCAATAAAGAAAGAAAAACAAATAATCACCTGTAGGTAAAAGATGGAGACCACCATGACGTCACAGAATATTTGTAAGCATTTGAGCCACGGCGACTTTAACCCTTTAAGACCATAGAGCCAAGTCCGCCAGAACTTATCTTTATATTTTTACATGCTGTAGTGCCATTTTTGGGAGCATTTCAAATTGCTATACATCAATACAACTGTCATATACCAAATTTTAATAATATGTATGCATTAAGGCCATAGTAACTACATAAATTGCAATAAACTACAAAAAAATGAAAATCGTTTTAGGGTTGTTGTTTTTTGTTTTTTTGGGGTTTTTTTACATATATTTCTAGTTAGAGAAATTGAAGAGGTTTGTCCCTCAAAACTGTAAATACAAAAAAGTTGCACAAAATAGTTTCCCACCACAGGAAATTTATTTTTTACTGCCTTCATAGTTTGATTTTTGAGATACACCAATTTTTATATACTGCTGGAAAACTGAAAATAACGCAAAACAGAGCGTGCCCGCTTCAACCAGTCTTAAAGGGTTCAAATGAAAACTAATAGCCCTGCAAAACTGTACTGTTGCAACCTGTCGGTCAAAATATAGCCACACTCCTGAATTATACCCTGTTTTTTTCACCAGATTTTCACTATAGTTGTACATTCAATATTTCACATGAGTAGTGATTGACAGTATAAACTTACTAGGAATGTGTTTACTGAGGATATAGTGAACAGTATCAATTTTTTTTTTTGCTTAGACTTTTATGAATTCCTGTTTTAACTTGAAGAATTTCCCCATGTTGGCAATGCTAAAGAATGTGCACGTGTGCTATCTCCGTCGTTTATATACAGTCTATGGGAAAAGTCAGGATATGCACAAAGGGAGGAGAGATGGTAAAATGATGATGACAGTTTTGAGGTACATCTAAGAGTTCCTCACTCATTCAAAACAACTGAGAATTTTCTTTATACAAACTGGAGATCAAAACTCTGTATCTTTCCTTCTTATCCACTGAATGATTGCACTAGTTTTTTGCACTAGCCTCGAGATATCACATTACTTTTTGTTTTTAATTAAGACATTAGATTGTCTCATAAAATGTGAAAAACATATTGAATAGGCCTGACCTGAAAGACATGGACTGCACAGTTCTACCTGCTTCAGCTTTACACTCAAGATATCGAATGAGAAATGCAGAAAAGCATACCATGTTTTGCATGAATGTTGTATTTGTGCACATTCTTGTAAAATGCACCTGTATGTGAGTCTGCATGCGTGTGTGTGTGTACGCACGCGGGTGTGCTTTTGTACCCATGTACGAGTGTGAGATGGCGCGGCGAGAGCCATGTTGTAGCTACATCTCAGTTCAATTTGTCCCCGACCTCAAATTGAAATTCCATTTTCAGGTGGTAAATTGTCTCCCACTTCGCCCTCTGGCACACAGTGAATTAAAATTCAAATTAGCCTGACCCTGCACCACTGCTCTCTAGCACCTCTCTGTCTGTCTCACTCTTTCTCTCTCTCGCCATCTCTATCGTGCTTGCTGTTTTGCTCTCTGCCCTCTCATCTCTTCCCCCTATTATCCTGTCCTCTCCATTCCTCTCATCTCTTGTTATCCTTTCCTCCCCACTCCCCTCGTCTTCCTTTATCTTGCTTATTTCCCCCCAATTTTGCTCTATATACCATATATCTCCCTGCATTCACCTCGCCATTCCCCCTACCCTTTCTCTGCTCTAATCCT